CTGATACAGGGGATTTTTCCCGTTGTTGATAATTAACCAATCATTATGATCCTGATAGTAGATCCTTGGGCTAGAACATGTGCTTATTTGAGTTGCCAGAAATGTTTTCAAAGACATTTGAAATAGCCCTAGACCCTTGCTTCTCTCTTTCCACTTGGAAACCTGATCACTATTTTATGAGATACAATAATAATGGTCTACATTTGTATAGGACTTTATGTTTTATTTCATAGCCATCATATTTAATTCCTCAAAATATTATAACCCCCATCTTTGCAGAGGAAGGAACTGAGACACAGAGAGGTGGAGTAACTTAACCAAGGTCACACAGCAGGGTAGCAGGTAGAGCCAAATTTGAACCCAGGAATCTCTTGATTCTTAATGTAGGTCACTTTCATAGGAATGTGGGAGAGATGATGGCTGCTGTGACCTCGAATGGTCTGGGGCAGACATTGGAGGCTGGAGGTGAGGACTCTGGGAGCCTGGGTGCTGTAATTGGGTCCCTGGCCCAGGGAGTCCTCCAAGTTCCCTGTGAACAGTTCTATCTGGGTGAATCATTCCCTTGGTTTCTCAGCTTTCACTCCTGGCTCTTTGATCATTTCCTCCTGAGATCTGGGTTTGGCTGAAGCCGGCTAGGACCTGTCCCAGCCTCCCTGAGCCCTCCCACCTGGGGGAAGAACCCCAGAGACAGAACAGCAGTGCCATGTGGCTCTGCGGCAGGGGTGTGCGGAGTAGGGAGCACCTGCAGGACCCCTGGGGGCTGGGGGCTCTCCTGACCTGCCCATTCACACCTGCTCTTATTACCGCCTTTCTCTTTTAGCTGAGTGTTTAATCTTCCGCCTCCCCTCCTTTGCCTCCATCACCAACCCCTCCTCTTGTCTGGGACCCTGCATCCTTGGAGCTGTCTGAGCTGACTTGGTTGGAGAGGCAGTTTTCAACCTCAGTGCCATGAGACGTGTTAAGATTACTGTGGGTTACAGGAAAGTTATTACAGATAATAGTAAGGATGCTACCTCTGCTGATAATTTACCTTTTTTTTGTAATAAATTAGAGCAGATTCAAGGTTGTGTCTTGATATAATCATGTCACTTCACCACTCAGTATGTGTGATATGTTTGCCTGAGAAAGGGCTGGGATTGCATCGAGCACCGTGTTCTTACCCTGTCTTATCTCAGTGCCAGCTGGTGGCCAGGCCAGGCCAGACCTGGCTGTCCTTGGGAGGGTGGCTCACATGCAAATGTTACTGGTTGCGAGTGCTGGGGCAGGACAAGTCTGAGCCCAGCTGACCATAGCACGGGTAGTGAGGCTGAAGCAGGGATCATCCTTTTTGTTTTGGGTCCTCCAGTTACAAAGCCAAGGCTGGAATGTGGGCCTTGGATGGTGTATTTGGTTCCTAGGGCTGCCCTGACCGAGTACCACAAACCAGGCAGCTTAAAACAGCAGACATTTATTGTCTCAGTTCTGGAGGTTAGAAGCCCAAAACTGAGGTCTCAGCAGGGCCATGCTCCTCCAGAAGGCTCCAGGGAAGAAGCCCTGCCTGCCTCTTGTAGCTCCTGGTGGTGGCCACCAATCCTTGGCGTGTCTTGGCATTCCAGCTGCATCCCTCCAGTCTCTGTCCTTGTTGTCGCATCTCCTTGTGTGCCTTCCCATGGCCACCTTTCCTCTTATAAGGACACTAGTCATATTGAATTAAGGGGTCACCCTAATGACCTCACGTTAACTTGATTACATCTGCAGAGACCCTATTTCCAAACAAGGTCATATTCACTGGTAACAGAGGTTAGGACTTTTTGCATATCTTTAAGGGGGTTCACAATTCAACCCATAACAGGCACCTGCTGGTGCCATACACCAGAAACTACCACAACATTGTACGTCAACTATACTTCAATTAAAAACCAAACACCAAACAGGTCAGCATTGCCACTGTCGGTCAAGTTTGCCCACAAGCCACCCCCAGGGGAGAAAGCCAGAGACCCTTGGCTAACTCACAGTAGTCCAGTAGTCTCTGGGGGGGCGGGGGGGGGCTTGACTCCTTCGCTCTCCCCACATGGTTTTCCTTTCCACGCTCCCAGTCCCAGTGGGGAGCTGCCCTGTCCCTTCTCACCTTGGGGGACCTGAGGGCGATGCTCTCTATCCCTGAGCATCCTTCCTGCCTTCCCTTTCCCCCACCATGGCTCTCAGGGGTGCAGGCCCATTGAGGAGGAGCAGTGATTGCTTGGAGAGGCCAGCATGGTCAGTGGGGCAAGCTTGTCCTGGACCCAGCTCTGTGGGGTCCACAGGCAGGTGATGGCCAGAGCAGCCGGGCTGGACCCCACAATGGTAACGTTCAAGGCCACAACCAGGAGGGGAGGCTGATGGCTTTGACTGAGAGGTAGAGGAGCTGCATCCTTTCCTTTGTGAGTAAGCGTGTGAGTGTGCACAGGCACGGGGTTGAGCTGTGGCCCTTTGGTTCTTGCACTAATTACGTCTGGATCGGGAGGGAGGGAACCCTATGAACTCTACTCTCCAGTCATCAGTGAGACCAAGGCCCAGGAAGAAAGGAGGAGGAAGGCAGGTGGAGGAGCAGGAAGGGGAATTGGCAGGGTTGAAGTTAATGGGGTCACGTAGCTCATCTGCCAAGCCAGATGTTCGTTCGGCCTCCCCAGCTGAAGGACGGGCTGCAGGGGCAGGCAGGGGTTGTGCCAGGGTAGACAGCCCTGCGAAGCCTAGCCTGATTTCTCTTAGCCTGGGCCTGCCTGGGTGGAGGGGAGCCAGGCTGGGGTGGTGTCTGGGCCCCCTAGGCCGGGGTTTCCTCTGGAAAGATGAAGGGCTGGTCTCTTTCTCTCATGAAAAGGGTTTGGGGTTGGAGCTGTCACTCCCGTTGGCAGGATATGGGCTGGAATGAAGTACGGAAGCATTCTCTCCAGGCGACAGTGGGGGTCCTTTGGTTATTTAAGTAGGATCAGGTAGGGGGCTGACTCTCTTGGCTGCTTCAGGGTGGGATTCTGGGGAAGGAAACATTTGCAAAATTTGGGGCTTTGTGGATCAGCCCAGTTTTCTTAGGCTCTTAATACTGTTATCCTCGTCTCTCCCTCCTGTCCCAGCATATAGGCAGGGCACATCCAGGACACCAGAGTCCCTCATCCAGGGACTCCCCTAGGTTCTGCCTGGCTGGCTGTGTTGCGTAACCATCACTCCAAAGGCTTATCCACTGCAAACATTCTTCCTGGTGATCGGACTGTAAACTAGCACTCCATGGTCACCAGCAAGGGCCAGATGGAAAGTGGGGACTGTGTGAGAGCGGTGGACTTGTCGCAGTCATGTTGTCATGGTGACAACTCTGTTTAGCTGCCTCTCCACGGCCCTAGCCCACATGGACTAAAATAAGTTTTACCTGCAGCTCACACAGCAGGCAGCCCTGTCCTCCCAAATTCAGCTGTCTGGCCAGGGTGTGTGTGTGTGTGTGTGTGTGTGTGTTTAGGGACAAAGGGGTCCCTGGCCAGGGTGTGTGTGTGTGTGTGTTGTTTAGGGACAAAGGGGTCCCAGGGAGGACTCATCGGAAACGTTCACCCCTCTCCCCTTTTTCTCCCACCCAGTCCTGTATCTCCTATCTCTTTAGACCCATGGATCTCAGACTTCAGCATGCATTACAGTCACCAGAGAGATGGTTAAAACACAGATTCCAGGGCCCCATCACCTGAGAATGTGCATTTCTAACAAGCTCCCAGGTGAAGCCGATGCTGCTGATGCCGGGACCACACTGGGAGCAGCCCTGACTTAGATTTTAGCGCATCCCAGCAAAGAAATGCACTGGCCCTATTCTCTGCAGTGTGTGTTAGCCTCTGTCCCCGGGCCCAGCTGCTATTGGAGGAGAGAGGGGAAGGCGCAGGCGGGCCCCCACTCACCTCTTCTGTGTGTTCTGTGGCCTCCTCACAGGAAGCAGGAGCTGGCCAACAGCTCGGATGTGACCCTCCCAGACCGGCCGCTGTCGCCTCCTCTCACCGCGCCTCCCACCATGAAGGTAAGAGGCTTCGGGTTGGTGAGTGGGGAGGGGAAGTGGGCGAGGAAAGTGCCATCGCTCTGGCCCGAGGCCCAGCTGCTTCTGTCCCCGTGAAGGCCGTGGAGTGTCCCCACACCTCTGGAGGCAGCGTCCACTTGAGATTAGCAGTGTGGGAGGAAAGTGTGACTGTGAGACTCAGGGGTGTCAGGGGCAGCGAGGAAATAGATGGGGGCTGAATGGGGTGGGCAGGATGCTTGGTGATTAGCAAGAGGCCTTGTGGAGCTGTGGGTTCCAGAATGAGGGGCCCAGGCCGGAGTGAGTGGGGGAGACGTAGAATGCAGCCCGGTGCCTTAAGGGGCCACTGCCCAGAAAGGCTGCCTGGGGACGGGGGGTGGGGAAGGAGGGGTCCTGTGGGCTGGGACCCTCTGGGGACTTGAATGGCACTTGCATGCTGGTCTGAATGCCTCTGACTGGCCCTCCTGAGCTGGCCCTGTCACCTCGGTCCCCATGAGAGTGTTGCCTTGGAGCTTCTAGGGGGCCAGTACTTCTTTTCCTGTTAGCACTTAATTCATATAGACTACATCCCAGGGCCCTGAGGGCGCTGCATCCTCGCCCCACCTTACCCCGCTGAGCGCTCCCCCTTCACCTTTCAGTCTCCCTGGCGGGGAGGCCATGTGGGCCTGGGCTGGCCCTCGGGGAGGACTTTGGCTCAGCCAGGATTCCTGCCTAGGCAGCAGTGAACCTCCCTCCCTCCTTCCCTCACACTTTGCCAGGTGAGGACTAGCTCTGAAGAAGTCACCTGCCTCCTGAGTCATCTGAGGGGACATCTAGGCCAGGTGCCATCTCTGTCCTGGAGCTCTGCTACGAGGTGACTCACAGGGAAATAATTAGGCATCTCTTTCCTGCTAGTCCCTGTTGCACCCCCTCTTCCCTGACCTAATCTGTTGCAAAAGGATACCCTCAAAGGAAGTCGACAAAAAGCGTCTTCCCATCATCATCCTGTATCAAGTGCCCACCACGCACAGGGCTGTGCGGTATGCACTGAGGGATAATCACGGGACGGCGGCCAGAGCCTGTCCTGGATGGATTAGGAATTCGGGAGTGGGTGGGGTACCCAGGCACATTGAAAGCCAGACCGCTGTCATCACCCTAGTCGCAGTGCTGGCATCGGAGCCAGAGCTGGGGTGGCTTGTCTGCACAGGGCGCTGCTGAAGCATTCTGGGGTTCAGCCCCTGGGTCTGCAGAGCTGGGTGTGGGGTGCTTGTCTCTATTCTCATGGGTGGCAGGAGTTTGCAGGGAGGATTCTGAAAGTCTCCAAGGAAGGGTCACTGAGTTCCCCTGGCAGGTTTTATGTAGATACTCATTTAATTTATTCAGCACTCAACTTTAAAAATTGAAGTATAGTTGATGTACAATTTTATGTAAGTTACAGGTGAACGATATAGTGATTCACAGTTTTAAAGTTTATACTCCATTTATAGTTATTATAAAATATTGACTGTATTCCCTGTGCTGTACAAAATAACCGTATAGCTTATTTTATACATAATCGTTTGTACCTCTTAATTCCCTACCCCTTCATTGCCCCTCCCCTGACCACACTTGTAACCACTATTTAGTCCTCTATATCTGTTAGTCTGCTTCTTGTTTTGGTAACATTCACTAGTTTATCCAATACCCAATATTTATTTGAATGTTGTTTTAGTCAAGACCCTTGGTGACAAGTGACAGAAACATAGCTCACTTTGGCTTAAGCACAAAAGGAAATGTATTGCCTTTGGGCAAATATAGACTCTAGGCATGGCTGCATTAGAACTTCGTCTCTTGCCATCTCTCTCCTGCGTTTCATTCTTTGTCAAGCTCTGGCTCTGTGATGACAGACGCTGACAGCAGCTCTTACTTTCTAAGTACCTCCAGTGGAAAGAAGAGTTTCTTTTTTTCCCAGGATTTCTACCAGAAGTCCTAGGGAGGAAGCTCATTGGCCTGGCTTAGGTCACATGGCTCTCTCTGAACCAATCATTGCAACCAGAAAGAGATGGAAGGCTCTCCTGCCCACCATCTAAACTGTAAGAACTGAGAATGGGGGGCGGGGAGGCTCCTTAAAGGAAAATGCGAGGGGCTACACTGAGAAGAAGAGGGAATGGATGCAGAGCAGGCAAGATCAAAAGCTTTCTACTACAGGTGCTGACTATGTGACCCTGGTAGTAACAAGGCAGTATGATTCCTGTTCTCTTGGAGTTTATTGTCCAGCTAAGGAGCCAAAAGTTGAAAAGACAATTTCATAAATGAGGGATGGACAGTTAGGTGTGTTGAATGTTCTGAAGGAGAAGCACAGTGTAGCTCAGGGACAAAATAAGGCGTGTGGAGTGGGAGCTAACCTAACCCTGGGAGGGCTTTGAAGAGGTGATTCTCAAGCTGAGCCCTGAGAGTGGAGTAGGACTTAGTGAAGCAAAAGTTCAGTCAGGATTCCTTTCTAGATGCTTGTTACTCAAAGTGAGGCCAAGAGACCAGCCGCACGTGCCTCACTTGGGAGCTTCTTAGAAATGCAGAACCCTGTTCTGTGGGCCCCCAGTCCCCGTATGGTGTCTGGACTATACTGGAATCCAAGTTGGAGGAGTGAGCACTTATCTTCCACTCCTCTGGTTTGTTTGAATCTTCTGTCCCAGCAGACCCTCTTTCCCCGGGTAATACTTTTCTAAATTAAGCCTGAATACATGTGTTCTTCAAGATGTTGACTGAAGCCTCCTCCTTCCCCATCAGTCTCACCTGGGATCACCTGTGCGGACCTGGGCTCTCAGGTGTGATGTCCTCTCCAGGGTGTGAAGCAGGTCCTCTCTGCTTTGCTGACACCTCCGGACCTCCCCAGGTTATTACTGCACATGGAAGTCTGAGAAACCAGGGGTGGAGGCTGGACTCTCTCCAGGGTCACTGGCCCCGGAGTTCTATCAGCCCTCCGCCCTCCTAGCATCTAGGCAGTGGAGGAGAGTCTCATCTGGTTCCCTTGGCAGTGCAGGCTTGGGGCAGGGGTGGCAGGGAACCCCTTTGGTATTGATTAGCTTGGGAGTCATAAAATGTTGAGGATGGATGATCATTTCCTTTCCAGGTAAGTTGGAGGTCAGGAGGTGGGAAATGACTCACCCAAGGTCCCAATGAAGATAACTGTGTCCATCCTGTAGTCAAAGAGTAAGTTCAGTTCTAAGACCCGAACCATCTTTGATGAAATGCTCTCATCCCATCCCACACACCAGGGATGCTGGGACAGAAGCTGGCCTCCAGCCCGAGAAGCTCCGCCCCAGGTCCCTGCCTCCCACCAACGAGCCTGCTGCCGCTGGGCTTTTATGCCCCCTCCCCCACCTCTTTGTGATTTTCAAGAGGATTTTTTTCTTGCTTATATGAAACTGAGAAAAAGCCACCAAGGAGATGCTGAGCAGATGGGCAGAACGAGAGCCCAGTTCCCAGCCAGAATTCAAACTGTGGACGGCACAGGATGGGCTGGGAGAGGGGTTTGGGGCTGTCTGCCGGGGAATGCAGTGGATGGTTTCCAGGCCCTCATTTTTAATGATCTGGTTTTTATGCCCAAATGGATCAACAGGACCAGGGAGGGCGGGTGTGTGTGCCCAGCATCGCGCTAGGCCCTGTGGGGTCAAACCGAAGCCACAGTCCTCATCCCTCAAAGACCTTGCTGTCTTCAGGGGGCCTTAACTGAGCAGAAGAAACCATATGGCTCAGCATGTGACAAGCTGCAGTGTGTCATGTGGCTTCTCAGTGGGGGAGAACTGTGAGGACGGTTTCGTGGGGAGGCGGTGGCGGCGGGGAGTTGGAAGGGACCCTAATGGCAGGCACGAGGGTTGAGTGACCCCCCGGGACTGAGCATACAGCAACCTTTCGGGCTTGAGGGGGTTGGGGCTGACTCTCCTGATTCTTTGCCAGCGCACAGTAAGTGCACGGGTACTTCATCTGAAGGTGATGGTGCTGGGACTGGATGTGACCTTGACCCGAGTTGTCACACTCGTCTCTGGAGCCTCACCAGACGGCCCGGGCTGCTGGGAGGCGACAATTTCTCAGCCTTCTCCATCCCTCTTTGTGCAGGTCTGAGGACAGTCCCCGCTTCCCCCCCAGACCTCCTCCTTTCCCGAAGAAGACAAGGAGGCCTGGGGTGTGAGCAGAAAGTCTTGTTCCTGCCTTGCCCCCCCCCTGCCTTTGCTCTTCATCACTCACTGGTGTCTCCGAAACCCTCAGCAGGGGGCAGCAAGTGTGAAAGTCCCCAGGTGCTAGGGAAGAAAGTGGAGGTCACAGGAGCCTTCTCTGCACCTTTTTCATTTTCTTTTTCTTTTTTTGGGGGGGGGGGCAGAACTGTGCCTGGTCTCTGCCTCCTGCCCTCCCAGCCACTCTCTCCTGGGTCTGGGGGAGCGGGGCTGGGGTTTCCTTTCCATCCCCAGGCCTGATGCTATCTCTTACTTTGCCCCTAATCCCTATCCGCTGTCTTCTGTCCTCACTGAGAAGAGAGACCACCCTCCTTTGTCAGGGTTGAGTGAAGGGGGGTCATCCTCCTGTCAGATCTACCGAGTCTGTATGAGTCTGTATAGTCCAGTTGAGGAGGCACTTGTGGGAAGGATGGGCAGGGGCAGGAAGGGCCTGAGGACCCAGCAGGGAGGTTTGATTTCCCTTCTTTAAGAAAGCCTTGGCGGGGGGCAGGAGAGTTAGGACAAATATTTATTCCCGCATCACCACCATTGCAGAAGGTTCTGCTGGCTTTCTTGGCGCCTCGGGGAGAGCTATCTCTGGGCTCCGCACAGATCCTATTTACACCGCTGGTCCGGATGCCGTCTCTTTGAAAACTGCTTCCCAGGAGCCCTCTGATTTCATACAGGCCAGGGGCCAGGGGAGCCCAAGGACAGTGCAGACGGGAGAGGGCTTACCTGGGTCTGCATCTGTCCAGGGGCACCTTGGAGTCTTAGAGGCCCCAGAGATGTCTGTGTGTGCACCACCTGCATGAACCACCCGCCTCGTGTGTGCACGTA